TCCTTGGCTGTCTAGTGGTTCCTGACTTTACACTGGTATTGGAGCATTTAGTAAGGTTATTTGGCAAGTTTGGCACCTCAGAGCTCTTGGCAATTGCAATGTAATGCCTCCTGTGGGAAGACTCTTCTTGCTAATTGACAGTTGTCTGAAAAACTCCTAAAGACCCGCCTAGTGTGAAACTTTCAATTTTGTGGCTAAAAGTCACATTGCTAAATTACATAGGATACGGATATGTGTTTCAGTTGCTCAGGGAAAATACTCCTATAATTTAGCAGAAAATTGACAGGCTTATGCTAACCATACTTCCTGTACCCAGTCATGTATTTTTTATTAGCAATCCTTTAGATAAATCCCAGGAGAATTTATTTCTAAATTCTTACATTTTACAAGGTAAAAGTTTTCAAGAGAAAGGCAGGTGGTGGTGGTGCACGCCTTTAATGCCAGCACTGGGAGGCAGAGGCAGAGACAGCTGGATCTCTGTGAGTTCGAGGCCAGCCTGGTCTACAGAGTGAGCTCCAAGGCAGCCTGGGCTACATGGTGAGACCCTGTCTTTGTGATGAATGCATATAGTATATATGGTATGTATTTTAAAAGAAGAAACATTAAGCTAAACTAACACAAAGACTTTTGTTATGAGGAAATCATTCTGTTCTTAGATCATTTATTTAAAAATTAGTAATTTAAATTTTTTATATTTCTTTTGAGACAGGGTCTCACTGTCTGGGCCAGAACTCCAAATGTAATACAGGGTGATCTTTAACACTGATCATTTGAAGGCTGAGTGCTGGCATTATAGGCCTGTACTACCATACTTTGTTGAACATTAGTAATTTACATTATTAATAAATTTGAACTAACTTACCATTGCATAACTAATTTTATATATATCCATACTGTTTAAAGCAAAGAACTTAATAAATACTCAACTATTAAACAATAAAGTATTTTATTTATTTATTTATTTTTTTGAGACAGGGTTTCCCTGTATAGCCTTGGCTGTACTGGAACTCACTCTGTAGGCCAGGCTGGCCTCGAACTCACAGGGATTTGTCTGCCTCTGCCTCCTGAGCACTGGGATTAAAGGTGTACCCCACCATCAGCCAGCCCTAAATACTCTTATATTATTCTCTTTTTTTTTTTGAGATAGGGTCTCATTGTGGCCCTGACTCAGGTTGGCCTTCTCTCAGTGTGGCTCTGCCTCTCAAGTGCTGGGATTAAAGGCGTGTGTTATCACACACAGTTTATTATATTTTTCTCATATTGGCCATTTCAAGCTTCTTTGGTATATAGGTAGGGAATGAGGACTCCATGCATAGCCAAGGCTGGCCTTGGATTCAATACCCTCCCGCTTTAGACTCTTGAGTTGGGGTACATGGCACTAGCCCAAGCTCAATTTTGACTTTGGCATATAACATGAATCTGAGCAGAGAGACCACCTAGCCTGGTGAAGTCTGCAATGCCTTTGCAGATATTATTTTAAGGATGTTTTCAGGGCCATGTGGCACTGGGGACAGAGCACTCATTTTGGAGTGGCAGATCTCAAATCAAAGTCTTCATCTATTCTGAGAAAATCTTGTGACGCCAGGTGAGAGACTGTAATGTCAGCATCTGGGAGGCTGAGGAAGCGGAGGGCAGGGAGTTCAAGGACAACATCGATACATAGCAAGACCCTTTCTCAGAACACACAAATGAGCAAAACCCAGTAAGAACCAAAACAGCAGGCAGAGTGGCCCATGCCTGTAATCCCAGGATTTGGGAGTCAGATGCAAAAGTCTAGCCTGGGTTACTTAGGTGGCGCACGCCTTTAATCCTAGCACTTGGGAGGAAGTGGCAGGCAGATCTCTGAGTTGCAGGCCAGCCTGATCTACAGAGCAAGTTCCAGGTCAGCCAGGGTCACACAGAGAAACCCTGTCTTGAAAAACAAACAAACAAACACGTTTAAAAAACTATAGTAAGCAGACTTTGTCTCTTAAAACAAAAACAAAAACACACTTGGAAAAAAAAGAGTATGTGTGTGTCTCAATGACTTGGCAGGAAAAGGCGAATGCTCTCAATTGACCTGAATTCAATTCCCAGAATCTACTGTAAGGATTCGAGCACTATGCTGGCCTGCCCCTGTCACCTGGCAGAATGCACTCAGGCAGTGCCCTGGTCAGCCCAGGTGCAAGGACCCCCTTAGAAGAAAGACCTCTGCCCGTTTACGCTCTCTTTCTTTCTTGCTCTTTTGCTGCTCTCCATTTCCCGCTCTTTCGGGCAGTTCCTCTGGGGCAGACGGGGCTTTTCTTATCTGCCTCTTCTCTTCTGCCCTCTCTCTGCCTCTGTGTCTCAGTGCTCTTTATGTCTTTTCTCCCCTCCCCCTTCCTTTTCTAATAAAACTTCTCTGCCTGGCATGTTTGTCCCTCTGCCTAGGTCACCCTCGCCTGCCATGGAACCGCCAATGTTCCTCACACTGTGCCCTAACACCTACATGATAGAAGGAGAGGACTAACGCCTATTGGTTGCCTTCTGACTTCCACAGAACTGTGGCAAGCGCCTGACCACCCACCAAATAGATAAAGTCATGCAAGCTGACCGCGCTCCTCTAAGCTTGTTTTTACCCAGTGACAACAGGGAAACGGTTAGTCCCTCTAGAGAGCTTTTGTGATTAAACAAAGAAAATGGGGCTGGGGATACAGTTCAGTTGCAGAGGTTCAAAATTCTGGTTCAGTCCCCAGCATCGGGGTGGCAGGGGGTATTAGAGAGGCAGCCGCACTCCGGGGTTGCTTGATTGGTGCACTTCTTACTCCCTCCAAAAAAGCTACTTTTCTTTTCTGGGGCGGGGGAGAGGGGCGGCGAACTCCTTCCACCTCCGAGAGCTGGGATTAAAGGTGTGAGTCACTACCAGCCTGATAAAGAAGCCACATTTTTGCAGCCAGCGGAGGTTACCACAGAGAACCACACCTGGTCAAAACACACAGAATAAGTGACGGGGAATACCCACCCCCCCAAGGGGCGTCTGTAACAACCGCTACAGCCTGGCTCCGGAACACTGTGGAAGAAGGGGAGGGAAGACGGTAAGAGCCCGGGGACCAGGAGGGTCAGGCTGTAACAACGCCTTCTGGACCCGCAGAGCAGCTGCACACTCCAGCTCTCAGCAGCTGTGGCTGCCTGCTCAAGACCGCACTAGCGAACAGCAGCACGCGTGGGGGAGGGGGGGCACAATCACCCCCAACCCCACACGATGAGAAGCTACAGGAAATTCATGGCTGCTGAGAGAGGGAGAGCCAGTTCCAGTAGCGACAAGCCCCTGGTAGGATGTCCTTGCCCCAATGGTCAGCCCTACACCCGTGTGCATGTGGCAAACGCTAATTGGCTTTACACGTATCATATTTGTGTAGTTATGCATATTTGTCATCTATTATATATGTTATAGAAGATGTCATGCATTTGAGAGGGGGGTGGGGACACAGGAGGAGCTGGAGGGGAGGGGTGGGTGTGACCATAACGCATTGTACTTACGTATGAAATTCTAAAAATAAATAAAAAGGAAAAGAATAAAAAGGAAATAAAGCACTTTTCCTTGGTTATATGTAAAAGTCAATCCTTTCCCTTACTCCTTAACCACTGATATTTTGTAAAAGTGACTAATTTCGTTTTCACTTCCTTTCATTCACAGATTTCATTAGGGGCCGCAGTCCAGTGACCTACAGGGTCACAGCCTGGCCAGGGCACACCCTCCCCAGAGTGGTACCTTATCTCTGCGAGCAGGGAAGCAGGAAACAGAGCCCAGCTTTCCTGTAGCTCGCTGGTTCTTGCCTGTCTTGGCTTTCCAGGGTGTGACAGTTACCTCTCTGCTCTCCTCTGCAGGGACAGGCTCACCCAGCCTGAGCTGGATAGCTTTTCAGTGTGTTTAACATTGTGTGTGAGCAGGACACTTGAGTCAGCACTCAGTGTGTTGTGGGTGTTTACTTTAAACCCCCCCTATAAATCTGAATAACTAGTTTGAGTACTGCTTACACCAACTTATGAGAACTGATTAAAAGGGAAAGGTTTGGCACCAACACTCACAAGAGTTTGCTTAGCCCACTGACTGGAATGGCTTGGATTTGAAAAGCAAGAAGACTAGTTTAGTTTTATGTGATTTGCCTGGAATGGCTGACAGTGATTAATTAATTATTTCCCAGCAATTAATTGTTTTGTTTCAATGTTGAAGAACTTGAGATAAATCTTCTACCACAATGCAAAAAAATTATATTACATCTGCAAATATTTACAGATTGAATTCCTTAACTATATATCTGTACTGACTTGTGACCCCCATTATGGATGCCAATGCTTTTGAGTGTGGGTGAGATATGTGCATCAGCGATCTTAAAAACTGAGGCCAGTGACACAGCTTGGGGCAAGGGTACCAGCATTAAGCCTGATGTGACAACCCAAGTTTGATCCCTGGGACCCACAAGGTGGAGGAGAAAACTGCCCCACACGAGTTGTCTTCTGACGTTCATCCTTACTCTGTGGCTGGAGTACACCCAAATAAAATGTAATGTTTTAGAAGGTGAAGACTATGTATTGAACAGATTCTCAAATGCTATCTTGCACAAAATTAGAAAACTTAAAAACAAAACTCTTCAAATTCTTAAAACTCTGAAGGATAATAAGAGACATTCAGAAAGTTTCTTCCAGTCAGCAGGATCTGCTTAAATTACTCTCTTCCCCAAACATCCATCCACCCACCTACTCACCCACCCACCCACCTACCTACCTACCTACCTATCATCTATCTATCTCTATTTCTCTAGGTGGTTTTTTGTTGTTTTGTTTTTTATTGTTGTTTTGTTTTTGAGACAGGGTCTCTCTACATAGCCCTGACAGTTCTGGTATTCACTATGTAGACCAGGCTGGCCTTGAACTCACAGAGATCCTCCTGTTTCTGCCTCTCAAGTGCTGGGATTGCCATTCTCTAACACTAAAACGAGGATGGTATTTCTGTCTCCATTGAGCAGAACCCAGTCACAAACCTGTTATCATTTGCTGGGCATCGTAGGGCTCCATGTAGCCGTCATTTTCACCCACTCTCTCTGCATCCCTTTGACCTTTGGTCCGTTTGGCGTCATATGGGTCAGCATAGTCTTCTAAAATGATGACCTGTCCAGTAAGAAATGACAGTTGCTAAGGATTCCCAGATATGAAAATGGCAACAGCATCAAAACAATGACTGAAATCCAAGGGATCAAAACCTCTCATTTGCTCTGGAAGCTTTTGTACTTGGTCATGCAGCTCTGTCAGACAAACTTTCTTTTTTGCACTTGATTTGTGACAATTCACCTAAACTCTTGTTTGTGGGTTAGAAGGTGGCGGGGTTGGCAGTGGGAAGTGGAGGGCGTCTGTGGCTTCAGTGCACCAAAAAAGAATGGTTCTACCACACAGTGACATCCCTGAGTCTCCTTTCAGCTAAGCAACGCAGTTCCAGTGAACCAGTCACCACACGGCACTGAGTTGGGTCAAAATGAATCCAAGACCTGCTTCCTGGCCTCATGGAATTTTTACAAGTCCCAAAGAGACAGGCTTCTCAGATTAGCACCAAACAATACTGCAGACGTTTTGGGTTCCATAATTCACAGGGATAGCGATTCAGCAGCTACAAAACAGAATTTTGACAGTATTTGTGCCGAAGAGCATCTAACATTCAGAAACCACAGTATGCATGGTGAAGCTCTGTACACAGCATGGGTCTCACTGCCAGGGGTGAGAACCCTTCTCAGGGAGGAAGACAGAGCCCTGCTGCATAGTCTCTGACAGAACGCTCTCTAGAAAATTCATGAAGTTTTACAGGAACACGAGGAAAGACTTCAAGGGAGGAGTGAAGAGAATGGAACTGACTGGAAGGATCTCACGCTTTGGAGACGACAGCCTAAGAAGTGTCAACCACCCAGAAGTGACATCCACGACAGGGAACTGGGATTGCCGCTCTCCCTGGCACCTGATTCACACGCTGTAAGTTAGAACAGCAAGGAAGACGGATGTGACTGACGCTTGGTCCTTGCCAGAAGTGAGGCACCCAGATGTATGTGGACGCTTCCACACCCATCTTTCCGTGGCTCTGCTCAGTGCCTGGCACAGGACAGGAACACTAAACTTCTCTGTAAACTCTCAAATGGAGCAGTGAACAGAGGCACCCGGTATGTGCCACCTCACATGTGGCACAAGTTTCTGGCAGTCTAGGTAGGCAGCTTGTTGAAAGCTAAGAGAGAATCAAAGCCCCTCACCAGGAAGGGGTTGCTTGGGCTGAAACCTAAAATCAGGGTGGGAGCTCTTCTCTCCATTTCTCACAGGGCAGAAAGCCTGGCTCTACCCTGCAAGGATGGAGAGCAATCTCCCAGGTCCACCCCTCCCCTTACCTTCCCCACACTGGATAGCACCCAGAAGCCCTCTGCTGACCAAGACGCAGGAAACACCTTCTTCTCTCCTGATGTGCAATTTCCTTAAGGGCATTTCCTTGTTATGGACTGTGCCCCCTCCCGCCCCCCCCACCTCCGCCTATGGCCATTATTCTATAGCACAGCAAATATCCACAGAATGAATGGCAGACCTGTCATCTGGGTGACGCTGGAACTCTGAGAGGCTTGGGGGATGGGAAATCCACACTTCACAATTCACAGGCTACTGTTGCTCTGTATGCTCAAGAAGTGTAAGCCATACAGTAGTCCAGCTTTGGTAGACCCCTTGATGACAAACTTGAAAACAACCAAATTACACCACACCCACAAAAGGGCCAATTTCTTTCCCTTCCCTTCTCTGCTCTTCTAAACCACGGAACTTGAACAACCCAGACACAACAAACATTGCAGCCAAGCTCTCAAAGCCTGGGCAAGGATATTTCCAGGAGAAAATGAGTCTAATGATTTTTAAATTGGGAGTCAGAATGGACTCAGGGGAGGACCTTAGAAAACATCTTCAATTTATCTTACGTATAGCGGGTGCTGGGGTTCAGCAGGCTCCCGTGTGCTCCCCTATCCCCTCCGCGCGCACTGAGAGGTGGGTAGAGAGGCTGGATTCTTACCGTGTCTTGTTGCTTCATTATCTTGGCCTTGTCCAGCTCGGGGCCCAGGGAGGACGGTGAAGAGGAGGCAGAGGAAGAGGAGCTGCTGGAGCTGCTGCTGCTGCCGCCGCCTCCCGGGTAGCCGCTCTTACCATTCTTCTCCTGCGTGTCCACCTTGATGAGCCTGCTGATGTAGGTGCTGCAGCCCGCGCTCTTGGCCACCGCGCCCCGGTGGGGCTCCTCCTCAGTGGTGGCAGCGGTGGCGGTGGCGGTGACCCTGGAGTTCTTACGACCCTTGCCGGCCGCGGCCTGGATCAGACCCTGCAAACTGTCCCGGGACAGCCGGCTGTCCTTAGGGGGACCGCTGCCTGCCCTGCTGCCCCCCAGCTCTGCCGCGGAGTTCTTCCGGCCCTTGCCCGGGGCGGGCGCCGCGCCGCCCGTCTCCGAGTTCTTGCGCGGCTTGGTACCGGCGCCCCCGGGCCTGGCGCGCTCCGACGCGGTCTTCAGGGTCAGCGGGAACTCCTTGAACCACTTCGCCGCCATCGGGGGACCTGGGAGCGTCGAGGCCGCGGAGCAGACGAGCAAGGAAGCCCAGCCGAGACACCGAGTGGCGCCAGGGGCCGGGGGCCGCCGCATTCCCCGGGGCTGGGCGCTGGAGGCCGCCGCGAGGCCCCTGGCCGGTAGACGCGCGCGCCCGGCAGGGTGGAACCCCTCGGCCCGGGGCTGGACGGGCGCGGTGACGGGACTGCCGTGTCCTCTGTCCTCCACCGCTGACGGCCGCCGGGCGCCGGGGCTTCCCCTGCTTTTCCTCCTGAGGTGGGCGAGGCCGAGCCCACGGAAGCCCCCGGCAGCCCTGCCCACACTCCCAGGGATGACGGCGGCCGCGGTGCCTGAGCGTCCGCCTCACGGTGGACGCACAGGACGGACAGGCGGATGGACGGACGGCCGCGCCCCTCCCTCGGCGGCGCCGGGGGCCCCCTCTCCGCAGGGACTGTGCGGGGAGAGTGGCCTGGAGTGGAGCTCAGGGACGACTGTCGCTACTTCCCTCGCTCTCCCGTCCTGCACGCGCGTCCGGGGCGCGGCCTTCCCTGGGCGCATGGAAGCAGGCGCGAGCAGCGAAGGCTCGAAGCTCGGCCAGGCGGCCGCGTAGGAGCCCGTGGGGTCCGCGCAGGGACGGCCTGGGCTGCGGGGAGCGCGGGGAGGGTGACCGGGCCCCCAAGGACGAGCTATCGGAGGAAGAGCGTGGGAGGGACGGCCCTAGGCGCTCTCTCGCTAATTGGTTCTCTCATTCTCGGGCTCTCCTCACAGCAACTGCAAAGCTTTTTGGTTAAGAAGATTAAGTGTGAACGCGACACTAAGTCTTTTCGTTTCAAACACGGAACGCGGCAGTTGCTGACAAGCCTTCACTGGTAAACCTGTGTGCCTTTGAGTCAGGAAATGTACCTTTTTCTTTTTCCGGATACAGGCCAAAATACCAAGCCGGCCTGACCTGATACAGCCGGAATATTCTTGAGGCACTGTGTCCGTCCTTCCCCTTCTTACCTTCGTTCCCCTCATCCCTCTTTTCCTTCTCCCTATCCTTCTCTGCTACCCCCTCCTCCCTTAGGATCCTACTTAAGCCAAAGGAGCCTCCAGTTCTGTGCCCTGGAGGCTTGAACTCGTGCTCCTCCTGCCGCCACCTCGTACCTAGGGTGGTAAAGACTGTGCCACCGCTGCGACTTCCAAGTGGTGCTGTGTGGAACCTAGGGCTCACACTCTGCCAACCGAGCTATGCTGGTCGCCAACCCTGAGCAGCTTTCGACAGACTTCAACTACTGATCTCTGAGGTGTAACTTTCTCTCTTCCTCCATTCCACCTTTCTCTTAGCCACAGAGTTTGCAGTTTGCCTGCTCGGCCAGTGCAAGTTAGTTGGTTTCAAACCCAGTCAATCTGACAACCAAGATTGGCCATCATAGCTGCCACCATCGGTTTTGTTTTTAGCGTTTGACTGTTCTGGAAGGTTCATGTCGTTGGAATCAAGCACAGGGCCTCTTCTGTCCGCCTGTCCTCTTAGCGTCCTCTTTGAAATCCATGCACACTGCACGCTTGCGTACCCTTCTTGCATTTTATATTGTCCAGTGATATTCCATTGTCTGATGCTCATTTGGATCACCCCCACTTTTTGACTGTTACAAAAATGCTGCGAATATCGGCGGAAAAGCTCTAATGTGGATATATGTTTGGATTTTTCAGGACTGGAATGGCTAAGTCACATCTTGAGAAACTGGCAAACCTCTTTTCAAACTGTCTGCATCATTTCACCACAGCAGCATGCCAGGCTCTCCATACTCTGGACGCTGACTGGAATTGTGCGTCTTGACTTACAGCTGTCCTGTTGAAAACATCATGCCTTTGTTTTGCATTTCTCTAGTAGCTGAAGATGTGTGAGAGCACACACCTGAAACCCCGGAACTTGGGAAGTGGAGGCAGCAGGGAGGAGTTGAAGACCAGGCACCTGAGAGCCTATCTTAGTTCTATTGCTGTGAAGAGACCGTGACCAGGATGATTTGTAAAATAAAGCACCTAATTGGAAGCTTACTTAACAGTTTCAGGGGGTTAGCTCATTATTGTCATGGTGGGGAGCGTAGCAGCAGGCAGGTAGGCCTGGCGCTGGAGCAGTAGTGGTGAGTCTTGGTCAGCATGGACGTTTGAAGCCCTCGAGGCTCACCCCAGTGATGCACCTCTCTCAGCAAGTACACGCCCACTCCAACAAGGCCACGCCTCCTAATCCTTCCCAAACCGTCAACTAACTGGTAACTAAACATTCAAACATGTGAGCCTATAGGGCCATTCTCATTCAGAGCCTATTGAAAAAAAAAAAAGCATAGGACATCCTTTTGCTATTTGTATAGTTTTGGAAAAATATTTCAGACTGTTTACTCCTTTTTGGTTTGTCTTGTTCCTGACTTGTAAAGTTGTTCACATATTCTTACATTTGAAAAGACCAGAAAGATGGCTCAGCAGGTGAAGGTTAGGAGGGTTGAGAACCGGTGTGTGAGGGGATGATGGGAAAGGGCCAGGTTCCGGTCTCTGAGCTTCGGCGCCTCCTTTTATGGATTTTGTTGGGATTAGATGAGTTTGTGTAAGAGCCCACTCATCATGTCAACAGGCTTATTTGAAGGTTCTGGCTGAGCCTGTGCTTGGGTGATCTTCGTTCCTAAAAGACTGTCACATTCCATGGGTCAACAGGAAGTACAGTCTATGCCCAGTTTCCCCATAAACTTCTTCGTTGGCTCCTGTGTTTTCTTAGCTGCTTTTAACTTTATTTAGATTTATTTGCCCACAAAGCAGTTGTTTTTTCCCACAGCTGGGAACATTTTAGAGAGAAGTATTTCTCTTTAATATTTAACATTTTAGCTGAGCTGGGTGATGCATGCAAGTAATCCCAGAACATGGAAGGTAGAGGATTGGAATATCAATAATTTAAGTGAGTTCAAGGCCATCCTGCATCTCAAAAACAAAACAAAACAAATCAACAGCACTAATACTAATATTGATACTGATACTAATAGTAATAGTAATGTTAATACTGATTTTAAGCCAGGTGTTAATTCCAGCACTATGGTGGTAGAGGCAGATAGGTCTCTGTGAGTTTGAGGCTAGCCTGGTCTACACATGAGTCCCAGGTTAGCCAAAGGTATATGGTGAGACTTTGTCTTTAAAATTAGTAAATACATAAATAAAACAAAAATAAGTAGATTACTAATAATGTTTTAATTTGTATTTCTCCTAAAGCAAAGGAAAAATAGCACTTGAGAACCTGTCTGACAGCTTTCTCGTCTCTAGGAGCAGAAGGAGGTGTGGAGTGCCAGGCCTGAGTTGTTCAGCTGGTGACCAGAAGCCTTGATTTGCCACCCATTTGATCTAGCTGTGGGTGTAGCTTGGTGGCAGGGCATGGGTTCTCCCTCAACCAAATAAAATGACCCTGCCCCAACAAGGGGGGCAGCAGGGGTTCTGTCCCAGAAGCTGCCTCTGACTTCCATAGACACCCATGGCATAATTCATATGGAGGTTATGAAAAAGGGGCAACAATCAGAAGTTTCTAAATAGCAAGTCACTAATTAATTAAAAATCAAACACCATCACTGTGTTGCTTTACCATATAACTGAACCTACCTTTCTCTCTCTCTCTCTCTCTCTCTCTCTCTCTCTCTCTCTCTCTCTCTCTCTCTCTCTCTCTCTCTCCTCCCCACCTCCTCCTTTTCCTTCTTTTTGGTTTTTCAAGGCAGGGTTTGTCTGTATATCCCTACCTGTCCTGGAACTTGTTCTGTAGACTGGGTGGCCTCAAACTCAGAGATTCACCTGCCTCTGCCTCCTGAGCCCTGGGATTAAAGGTGTGCACCCCCACCGCCCTGCTGAACCTTGGCTCTGAACACACACCATACACACATTACACTGTGAGTACCGTCTTACTAGGCAATGCAATGCCAGGGAACATGGTCTGAACACCACAGCTTGCACTTGCATTATCATATGTTCCGAATTGTCTGTTTTTACTGTACATGCGTAGTTTTCTACTCATAGAGAAACACAACAGTCTAGTTATGGAAAGCAAAATGCACCATCTTCCTATTGCCATTCCTCGGCATGTAAGCATTCAGTTAGTGCATCTTTGGATCATATCATGTTAGAATGTTTGGTTTTTTTAAAATGTTTTTTTAACCACAGGATGTAGTTCAGTGGTAGAGCACATGGCCAGTATGTGGGATGTCCTAGGTTTAAGCTCCTATAGCTGAGAAACAAAATGATTGTGGGGTTGCTGATCTCTGTCTGTCTGTCTGTCTGTCTCTGAGGCAGGGCTTCTCTGTGTAGCTTTGGAGCCTGTCCTGGAACTCTGTAGATCAGGCTGGCCTCGAACTCACACTCACAGAGATCCACCTGCCTCTGCCTCCCGAGTGCTAGGATTAAAGGCCTGTGCCACCACACTGGACCCTTGAGTTTCATTTTTAAGTATGACAGGTTTCCAGCACTTTCTGAATGTTCCTAAATTACTCCTGCCATTTGGGTATGTGTTTCTTCGACGTGTCATTTTCAGCATTGATGATTATAAAATCAAAATATTGATCAACTCTGAAAAGCATTGAAGATGCTGAAGTCCTTTGGTATCAAATATTCATTCCAGATTGAATTATTTATGCAAAACCGAGCAAATCCATCTCATTACCATGTAAATTTACTTTTGATCAGTTTTCAAAAAATATTTGTTAATTTTTTGTGTATGTGTGTGGGTGCGCATGTGCTGTGGCATGCCCACAGAGGATGGAGGACAGCTGTGGGACTGAGTTTCCTTTGACAGTGTGAGACCTGGGCATTGAACTCAGGTTGTGAAACTCAGCAGTAAATGCTCCTACCTGCTGAGTCACCTCAGAGGCCTGGATTTCAGCCTCAATAAACGGTTCAGTGGGTGAAAGTGCCTGCCATGCAAATCCAGCAACTGGAGTTTGGTCCCCAGAGCCCACTGGGGAACAGGAAGACTGGCTCCCTGATCCTGTCCTCTGACTCCCACGTGCTTGCTGTAGGAAGAACGAACGCATCTGCATCTCAGGTGCACCACACACAATAAGAAGAAGAAATCTTTAGGAAATATAAAAAATAAAACTATATATGTACCAAAGAGTTGATTTTAAAATAAGCTTCTTTATGAGTCCTTGACTTTGTTCTAATCTGTTTCATTTCATTTTCTCAAGACAGGGTTTCTCTGTGTAGCTAGCATAGCTGTCCTGAACTCACTCTGTAGACCAGGATGGCCTGCAACTCTGCCTCTGCCTCCTGAGTGCTGGGATTAAAGATGCACGCCACCACCACCGGGCTCCTGTAAAGGGTCCAGCCAAAAAAACACACCTTGAGCAGAGTCAAAGAAACACACTTTGTCTCTGGAATCAGAGCCAGTGAAAGAAATACATCCTGGCCCTAAAACTAGAGCCAAACGGCTAAAAAGCATCAGAGAAAGAAACATACTTGCCCTGAAACCAGAGCCAAATCTGACCCTAAACCTGTGCAGAAAACTAACCAATCCCTGAGCAGGAGATCTAGCCATCCTAAACTCAGGGATTGAAATCTGACCATCCCCACCTGGAAACCACCCCGCCCCCAAGCCCTATATAAACCCTGTGTCTGTTCTGCTTGTGGCTGTTCCCGCTGCCCAGCTGTTCTCTGCACTCCTGGCAGAGGGCAGCCACTCTCCTGGATTCTTCCCTCCCAATAAATCTCTTGAATGAGGTTTGGTGAGACCTTCTTTGCCTGGAGCAGACAACCCAGAGCAGAATGGAGCAGGGCTGTAACGCTTTTTGCTGGGGAAACCTTCCCTGGTGAACTAAAGTTGTTACACTCTCCACTCTCCAGGGTACTGGAGGCTAACTGTAACAACTTTGCCAGAGAAACCCTCTCCTGCTGGGGCAGAGCTGATACACTGGGGAAGCCTCTCCCTCAATCAGGACCGTAAGCTGCTATGCTTACTGTGACCCGCCCTATTCCTTGGCTCCCGAGTGCCTGAATACCTTTCTATCCAAGCTGTAACACTCAGTATTCTTTGGCTCCAGAGTGCCATAATCCATCCCTGTCCATTCCATCCTAGCTGTTGAAATGCTTACAGCTACTTTTTTGATTTATAGTCTCATTTAACATACCTATTTGTGCTGGTTAGTTTTATGTCAGTTTGACACAAGCAAGGAGTCGTTTAGGAAGAGGAAACCTCAATTTAAAAAGTGCCCTCAGCCGGGCGTTGGTGGCGCACGCCTTTAATCCCAGCACTCGGGAGGCAGAGGCAGGAGGATCTCTGTGAGTTCGAGGCCAGCCTGGTCTACAGAGTGAGTTCCAGGACAGCCTCCAAAGCCACAGAGAAACCCTGTCTCAAAAAACAAAAACAAAAAAAAAAGTGCCCTCACCAAGCCATGTGGAGGTGGCACACACCTTCAATCCCAGCACTCAGGAGGCCGAGGCAAGCAGATCTCTGAATTGGAGGCCAGCCCGGTCTACAGAAAGAGTTCCAGGTCAGCCAGGATACACAGAGAAGCCCTGCCTTGAAAAACAAACAAACAAAAAATTTCCTCACCAAATCAGTCTGTGTTGCAAGCCTATGTGGGTCAGTTTCTTGATTGATAATTGATATGGGAGGGTCCAGCCCATTGTGGGTGTTGTCATCCCTGAGCTGGTGTCCTGGGTGCTACAAGAAAGCAGGCTGAGTAAGTCAGCAGCACCCTCCATGGCCTCTGTGTCAGCCCCTGCCCCCGGGTTCCTGTTCTGCTTGAATTCCTGTCTGTCTTCCCTCAGTGATGGGCAGTTACCTGGAACTGTGAGTGAAACAAATCCTTTCCTCCCCAAGTTGTTTATGGCCGTGGGGTTTAACCACAGCAGTAGAAATCTAGCAAAGACACCTATGTAACTGGAACCACGTACAGTTTTGTACGATTTTCTTAGACAAAAAAGGATTTTCAAATGGAAAGTTTAGATGTGGTAATTCCCATCATATATATATCATACTCAAGGTCTCTGCTTGGAGCTGCAGGTCGGGCTTCCCAGGCCTTGTCCTCAGGCCAACC